AAATAGTAAGATTTCCAAAGAAATCCTTTACTGTAGGTATAAGACAGGGAGAAATGAAATAAAACTCAAAAGACCATTTTGCCAGAGATCAATATCAACCAAGTCCTTTTTTGATTTATAATTTCTTTGAAGGCATGTCTGCATAGAACTAATTTCTGAAGTTGTCCTAATTCAAACCACATTGGATTTGAAAACTAAACTTAGTCCCTATCTTTATAGGTAGGGAATCTGAAGAAACAAATTACTTGCTTTGGCTCAGGGATATTGCTAGAATAAGAACTCAGGTTTGTAACACAGACTACACAAGACTGAATTATCTTGTTAACTAATTAAGTTGTTAGCTGGTTATTAAGCTAAACACTAGTCTTTTGTCAACTGTTAGATGACTGATATTTACATTACTTTTTGAATTTTTCATTTTTTAGCCATTAATATTTGTTGTTTAACTTGATGATACAGTTGTCTTTTATGTTATAACTCCATGGAACAGGTATAATTCAGTAGCATGAATTTTTGCAATAAAAGTTTCTGGTAAGTGACTTATGAAATACTGCTCTGTAGATGTTAATTTATGATAAGAACTGAGGAACATCCTACAAACTAAATGTTGTGTTTGTGTTTTACCTTCAGTGTAAGTTTTAAAAGGAAAACAAGTGAATTTATGTGACTTCTCTCCCTGCCCTGCATTTTGTAAGCATCTAGGAAATATACATAACAATATTATAAAATACTTTGGAACCTACCTCTTTCAGGATTCTTATGGCCTTCATCATTTCTCTGTCCCCTGAAAAATGCAAAAAATAAAGTTTTTATCTATAAATTATAAGAATACTCAAAGAGGTCTGAAATAACTTGTTGCTGTACAATTGTACCAAAGAGTTTTTATCTTAGAGTTATTTTGTATTTTATGAAGTAAAGATAGTCCAGAATAATTTAATAGTCTAATATGCTTGTAATATATAATCTTATACCTACATTGTTTTTTCCCCTGTGATTTCTGTGTATTTTGGACAGAGAATCCTTTTTCTGTCCAAAGTGACTTTGGGAAAGTCAGCCTCCTTAAGGTTCTGGTTTACTCCTATGAATAAATGAAGTATTTAGATAACATGAATTCCAAAGTCCCTCTGAGCTTTAGATGCAACTCTGTGATTATATAAAATAAATATAAAATCAAATTTGAATGTTATTTGATATCAATAATGCTAAATTTCCAACGTGAAAAATAGGTAAATTTTAAGATTTGTAATTTTTTAAAGTGTTAGTTGCCATTAGTTGAAACCACAGGGAACAAAATCAGTAATTGCTGGTCAGTATTACATTGCTCAGTTACTCCCAAAGAAAATAAATGCAGGCATAGATATTACTTGGCCCAAATTGTGACTTTTGTATAGGTGAAGGCCTAACACAATTGGGATATCATTATACAAATGGTTGGTTTTCAAAATCAATTAAGTAAACCATAGCCTGGTAGCTGAAATATTCTCTCCCTCTCAGGAGTACGTTGTTATTAGTAGCCCTGCTCTCAGGGTTGATACTGTATTATCAGTTCAGCCAACTACAATGGTTTGCCATTTTGGACAGTTGTTTTTTTTTTTCTTCATGGTAATTTTCACAAAACTAATTATCTTTCATAATATCCTACTTTAATATTTATTAGACTTGGGATCAGAATGCTTTGCCTTATAAACAATCAATTTTGGCTTTGTCTTGCCTAATTTTTGAAGGACAAATGATAATTAATTGGCCAGTACTTCTCTAAAAAATTCCTTTATGTTGTTAAAACTACTGAAATTGGCTGAGTGCAACTACCATGGAAACAAAGATGAATTTGACTTTTTGTTTACCCTCAGTATCTCCTTCCTTACATTTAGTAACCAGAATAGAGCACAGAATTCTATAATTTAAGTAATGTATTCATTCATTCAGTACATTTTTGTTGTATATCTACTACCAGCTAGACACTGTTTTAGACAGTCAGCATTTCCAATAGAACACTCTGTGATGGTGGAAACGTTCTGTATCTGCTCTGTCCACATAGTAAGCACTAGGCACATGTGGCTATGGAGCCCTAGAAATGTGGCTAGTGGGTCTGAGGAACTGAATTTTAAATTTTAATTAAATTTAAATAGCATAGTTATGGCTATATAATGCTGTATATTAAATATATATATGTATTTTTAAAAATTTTATTTATTTATTTGACAGACAGAGATCACAAGTGGGCAAAGAAGCAGGCAGAGGGTGTGGGGAGAAGTAGGCTCCCTGTTGAGCAGAGAGCCTGATGTGGGACTCGATCCCAGGACCCTGAGACCATGACCTGAGCCGGAGGTGGAGGCTTAACCCACTGAGCCACTCAGGAGCCCCAGTATATTTGTATTTTAAAAAAACAGAACAAACAAAAAACAGGCTCATAGAGGACAATTTGGTGATTGCCAGTGGTGGGAGAAATGGGTTGACTGTTTTTGGCTTTGTCTTTTTAGTTTAAATAATTTTTTATAATAAAAATTCTGTCAACAAGTTAAAAAAATGCTGAGACCCATCAACTATAGGAAGAGATAAATGTGCATCATTCACTGTGGAGAGAAACAAATCTTCCTAAGGGTGCTTATTGATTTCTTTCTACATTCTGGAAGATTTGTGTGGCCTTCCAAGAATTCAGTATCATCATCATCATCCAGGACTGGCAGGAACTTAACTTTCTCCAGGACTTTGGAAGGATATGAGTGCTGTCCACACCACATTTAGATCTCTGCAGTTGCATAAGCCTCATTCCTACATGTGAGCATTCCATTTTAACAATGATACTAGCTAATTTTGTTGAAGATCTAATATGAGACAACCAGTGTTCTAATCACTTTATGTGCCCTACTAGAGGGATGGTGTTATAATTCCCATTTTACAGATAAGAAAATGGAGAGCCAGAGAAATTAAGGAATTTGCCCAATGGTTACTAATATTTACAGAACTCTTACCACATATCAGATATTTTTACTCCCTATGTACCATGTTCTTCACATTATCTTTTTTTACTCTCACATGCTATAGGCTTTATTATTATTTACATTTTTATTTATGAAGAAGCTCAGGTGCAGATAGGTCAAGTTACTTATTCAGTATCTCAGTTCTTATTCATGTCTCAGTTCTCAACTATAATACTATCCTGCCTGTCAGGATATATTTTACTAGAATAACTTGATTATTGGTGGGCTTAGATTCATTGCTAAATTTTCCCCTTCAAAGCATAGATGAATTGCCTAAAGTGAGTATGGTGCTATGTTCATAATTTTTAAAATAAGTAAATAGCCATACGTGCATCTCCTGGTTTTACATACTAATGATATGAGACAAATACTAGAGAAGTAATGTGAAAAATAAATAGGGTAATTTAAAATAATGGTAAGTGCTAAGAAGGAACTAAAACAGGAGAATGTAATCTCTATTACATTGTGGGTTTGGAGGTGGGTGGGTGAGAACGAGTAGAGAGGTACCCCTCTTTAGAATAAGGGTAGTCAAGGAAAGACCTCTCTGATGAAAGGACACTTGATTGAGACCGAATGATGAGAAGACAGCAACATCAGTAATTGGGAGGAAATATTCCCAGAAGGACCAGCAAATGCAAATACCCAAAAGAGGGAACAAATTTAGTGTACTGAGGAAAAGAAAGAAGTCCAGTGGTCTGGTCCAATCTGCTAGAGAGAGTAAGACTGGAAAAGGAGGCAGGGGTCAGATCACAAAGTCCACTCCTGACCAGAGTAAAGGAAAATAGGAAAGTACTGCAGTCATTAAGCAAAGTGACATGATGTGATAATATGTTTTTTAAAAGAACTCTCTGAATGCTTACTAGACAATGGGCTGATTATGGGTAAAAACAAGTAGAGGCATAGAGAACAGGTAAGAAGCTATTCCATTTGCCTGTTTTGCCTGAGGTGCTAGCCATGCAAATGGTGAAAAGTGAAAGAATTCCAGCTATGTGGAAGTAGTGTAATAAACTCATTACTTTCTAAGCATTGTGTATCAGAATCCTTTACGTTTTAATATAAAGTTGAATTTTTATGTAACAATCTGACATTGCTACCAGTTATTCAACACTAATAATGTTTCTTATTGTTATTTATTATAAACAAATGACTTTCACAACATCAGTATGGTTTGTCAAAATTTGATAATTCAGAAAAACACACTGATAAAAGCCTAGCAATGCTTGTTTTTTTTTTTTTAAAGGCTTTCATTTTTACCATATTCTGCAAATAAGATTTATCATGTTAGAGTTATGAGCTGATTATGTGATGTCTGTGTCTTGATAAATTATTCCTGGCTCTCTACTTACATGCAATATGTGTGGTTGGTTTACTGCAGAGTAAAGCTGAATGAATTCCAGTACACATGTTCATGCAGGGACTATACACATGGCTAGTCAGTGTATGTAAGAGTTTTTTGTACCCTGTCCCTAGTATCTTGGCATTACTTTTATTATGTCTGCAGGGCTTGTGCAGATGAAATGCCACAACACATTCTTTTACTATTGTAGCCTCAACCAGCCTTTTTTTTTTTTTTTTTTTTTTTAAGTAAAAGCAATTACCATCATAAAAATTCCTTACTGGGGAAATTTCCATATTGCGTTATCATTCCATGAGCCTAATAATAGTGGAATATAAAGAAAAAAATTTAATTCTAAAATATCAAAAAAAGACTTTTGAGTTCTCTTTAGTGAGAAACACTAGGGTTCTGGAGGAAGCGAAATAAGAAAAAAGGAAGTAAAGTCAAGCTTTCTAGACTTCTGGTACATCTTAGAGATTTATAAATCATTGCCTAGCTAAAGATAATTTGCAAATCACATGCACCTTCGCCATTGTCTAAACACAGTTAAAGAACTCTCAGTCTGTTATCTATTGGAGAATGCTAATGCCTATAATTGGTCATTGCCTGACCCTTATGTATTTCTAACCTGATAGCTCTATCTGCCTAAAAGCTAATTCTGTGTTTTCTGTGAAATCTTGCAGTGGTGTTATCAGGGAGATTGTGTTCCTTTTGGCACTTGGCCCCAGAGCATAGATGGGGGCTGGGGTCCCTGGTCACTATGGGGAGAGTGCAGCAGGACCTGCGGGGGAGGCGTCTCCTCATCCCTAAGACACTGTGACAGTCCAGCGTAAGTAGCTAAAGTAAGCCGGAGCCAACAAAAAGACACAGTTGGAAATGATTCAAAGCTGTGGTTTCACATGTTATCTGTAAAAACGTTTCACTAGTGAGCCAAGTGTTTGTCTTCTGAGCAAGCAACAGGCACAGGAGAGTGGAAGAGCCTTGTTGGACACTCTTTCTTCCTTCCCCCTTACTGTGCAACTAAAAATAAAAGAAAAAGAAAAAGAATAGCATTGTGTATCTATCCCAGGTATAGCCAGACTTGTAATCTAGTAATAATCAGATAGATTTCCCCCTCCAAAAACTACTGAATTATGGATGAATCCAGGTCTGCTCTTAGCCACATTACCATTATTCCCAGGAAACCTAAGGTCTTTTCACATGTCACATAAAATTATTACTGCTACATTAGTATTAAAAGGACCAATGAGAGCACTTCAAGGGTTGAAATGCCTTGATTCGCATCACAAATCACAATGAAAAGAATACTGCCCATGTGTTAAAATAGTTTCCATTCACATGCCCCTATTAATCATCTTCCGGAGCTGCCACCACATTTCTCCCTGTGGCTATTTTATGCAGGTCGGACTGTTCCTCTCCCACCACTCTTTTTCTCCGGTCAGAGTCCCCCTGGCGAAAGGCCAGCCCCATCAGTATTCTTTGGTAGCTGATTGCCTCTCCCTCCCACCAGTGCCCATTACAGGTGGACCAGTCCCGCAGTTAGACTTTCCTGTCCACCCGGAGACTGAACTGCTCCTTAGCTGGTGCCTATCAAGTGCTCCCCTTTTTGTCTAAAGTTCAGGTTGCAGGCCTCCTTTCCCAACTAATGTTCGGTGCAGCATGGCTTTATAATATCCCTTCTGCTTTTTTTTCCCTTTCTGGGGTGGTTATATATTACTTAATATATAGTATTATATAAATCCCATCTCTAAGTATCTTTCTTCTCTTTTACTCTTTTGAGCTTGAAATTATTTCCCTTTACATTTGTTCTGTGTTTCCATTCCCCAGCTTTCTTTCTATTATTATCTTTCTGCTAAACAAGGCTAGCTCACTGTCACCCACTCACAAACTAGTCATGCTACCATCATCCCCACGCCCCTGTTTTTGTTTGACCAAACCATTTCTCCCTAGCTGAATAAACTGGGCCATTCCTTTTCCTCTTTAGAATCAGTATCCACCGGCATTGAAAATATATTCAAAATGTAACTTTAATTATTCCATTGACTACCAGTAAGCTGAAATTATACTTGATCTTTTTCAAACAAGTACAGAGTAATTACCCAAGTTCAACTGCCGGCTACTATAAATTAGTAACCAAAACTGTAAACCTCTATGATAATAAGTATTATACCCAGATCCTTAAGAGAATGACTTGGACTTCTTTTAAAAAGAGAAGTTGGCTTTTTCCATTCAAAATAGCATGCCCAAATAATAGCATATGGCTTTCCCTGATGTTAAATACTTAAAAAATTAATTTATGTGAATCAAATATTGGACATCTTTTTCATTAATTTGAGTGTAATATACAGTATGTATATAATGCAAAGCCATCTGGTTTTTAGGTGTAATTTTTCAAACTTCATGTAATGAGATTGAAATTCATTTCTGCATTATTTACTTTGAAATGAAAACTATTTCCAGAGAGTTACTTAATATTCTCTCATTTCCACTCTGGAAAAAATACTAAACTTACTATTTCCTATTTGGTGAACAGATAGCATCAGATTTTGTGTTTTGTTGAGTATGATTCAAATGGTTTTTCATTATAATTAAGTGATTGTAAACTCATTGTGTTGAACTGAGCACCTGCTTACTATGATTATTAGAAAATAAATTTATTTAACTGCATTTTCTTAAGAATGTAAATCATGACAAGAGTCTTGTAAAGTTATTTATAGTAAACTGCCTTAGTTTTTATGTTCAACAACCATAATCATTATTGCTAACAATCACTAGCAAAATTATTATTTTAATAACTAGTAAAATGTCAAATTTTGTATTTTCTTAAAATAAATGCTAAAATGTTTTCATCAAGTAATATATATACTCTTTATGTAGACAGATATATTCACATGTTTAACAAAATGTGTTTTCAGACCTTCAGGAGGTGGAAAATATTGCCTTGGGGAAAGGAAACGGTATCGCTCCTGTAACACAGATGTAAGTAAAACCAAACTTTGCTATGAAAAATTAGCTTACATTTCCCCTAGAGCAGGGAAATTTTTAAAACCATAAGCTATTTGGTCATAAATCCATGTGTATGAAGGTCACATGAATTTTTTAAATTGTTAATAGTGAATGGAACAGGCTTCATGTCCAGAAATTCGATCAACAGGAGACAAGGGGAAGCTCCAGCACTAGGAGCAAATACAGTCTCCCCCAATAGGTACCAAGAGAGAGTCAGTCATAGGTCCTCCAAAATGACTTGGTCCCCCAACACTCACGCCTTTACCAGGATTAATCTTAATTTGCCCGTAAAATCAGATTATTTTATGTTTACCACTGTAAGAGGCCCGATTCCCACATCATTCTTCATCTCTTGCTGTCCAGTCCCATCAAGTTCTGCATATCACATCTTCTGTTTTATATCTCTGCCCAGCTACTGAAACTTTTCTTGTGTGCCCTTAGGAATTCATGATCCATTCGCAGCAAAAACCCTTTTATCTTGATGTCTCTGAATTTTCCTTCTCTTCACTTTGTTGTTCTAATGGAAACTGGCTGTCCTCTAACAATACTTAAAATATTAGCCCTCTAAAGGTATTTTCTCCCTTAGCTCTTGAATGAGTGGAAGTTGATTGACTTTTTTTAATATCTCATTACCCCTTTCAGATCATTCTTCCTCCCTCCTACCTAAAAATCACACCTTTTAATTTCATGTCCTCGGGGTGTTAACACAGTTTTATTCCTCACCGTCATGCTTTGCAAAGCTATTCCTATCTTAATTCTCAGTTATTTGATATAACCAATCTTGGTTATGTAAGTATGTAGATATTTTTTCAATATCTTCTCTTTTGGATTCTTCCATAAACATACAAACATATTGTTATTTCACCTATCTTTAAAAAAACAAAACACCTGCCAGTTCTTCCCCCAATTTTTTTCTTCCCTTTGAAACAAAATTCCCCAAAAGAGTTATACCATATCCACTACCTCTTCAAATTCTTTCCTAAAATTGTTCCTGTCAGATTTTTGCCACCATCATTCTACTAAAAATGTTCTTGTCAAGTCACAGATGACTTCCATGTTGCTAAATCTAATAGTCAATTCTGAGTGTTCATCTTACTTGGTAGTCAGTAGGCTTCCACAACATACGACTTTTTGGTTGTCCTTTTTTATTATTATTTGTTTTTTTCTCATTCTCCTTTGCTGGTTCCTATTCTTTTTCTCTTACTTCTCAGAGTGTCCAGGACCTAGTCCTTGCCCCTTTTTGTGCACTATCAGTATTCATTTCCTTGGTGATCTCATCCAGTTTCATTGCCTTCGATAGCATTCGTATGTCATTTGGTGCCCAAATTTATATTTTTGGCCCAGATTTCTTTCATGGATTCTAGACTCATGTCCTAGCATTAGGTCCTTAGAAAGGCCTGCAAAGACAATACAATCTAGCCCTCCATTACTTTTCTGAACTAATCTCTTACTATTTTTCCTCAATAGCCATGCTCCAGCCACGCGGGTCTCCTTCCTTGTACATACCAGGCATGCTCCCACCTTGGGGCTTTAGCATTGCCCATTTCCTTTACCTTATATACTCTTCTCGCAAAATATCTACATGACTTACTCTCTTACCTAACCTTTATTCAACTGTCACCACCTCAGTGAGGCCTAGCCTGAGTACCATATTTAAAATTGCAACTTTCCCTACTCCCTACAACCTCGAGACTCCTAATCTTTCTTACCCTGCTCTGTTTCTCCCATACATACTTATACTCTGTAGCTTATTGATCATAATTACTTCCATGTTACATTTTGCATGTAACAAAGAAGTAATAAAATGTGGCTTCAATTACAATGATCATTTCAAGATATCAGCATTATTTATTCATTCATTCAACAAACCATTGAATGCCTACTATATCTCAGACTGTTCTAGAGTAAGAAAGACCATCTACTCTCAAGGATCTTATAATTTCCTGGGAAATCAGTTAAATGCAGATAATCACCGCTCAGAGTGATAAATATATGATATGATGGAATAAGTATGGGATGCTATAAAAGCACATAGAATGGGCACATAGCCTAATTAAGGATTTAGGATTTCTTCCCATAGGAAAGTAAAGATATGAAGGGCAAATAGGAGCTGACCAGAAAAGAAGAAAACGACACTAAAGAGCATTCTAGGTAGAAGGAAAATTAAATGCAAGGCTTGTAGGTTAAACAGCATGATCTTTACTGAGGCAGTAAGACACTGTTCAAAAACTTAGCCTCAGATTTATACTTTATATGAGAATGGATTGGAGAAAGTGAGACTACAACAGAACAATAAACGGTTCAGAAAGAATTTAAGGGTACTGGTGGGAATGACTGAAGTGCTGAGCCATGCAGTCTGCTTTGGCAGTGGAGTCTAAAGAGGGCTAAGAGGAGAAAATTAAAGACCTAAATTCAAAAATTCATAAAAATTGAAGAACCAATGTAGTAAAAGAAACAGGGTGAGGGAGATAGAAAGAGTTGGGATCAGAGAATGGAATGTACTGGATTTCATATATGACAAGTGAGACTTTTCTCAATGATGACAAATCTTCAGTGTGACCAAGGGAATGCATGCCTAGCTTTGGGCAAAGATGAAGGAGTTCAAAGATCTTCAAGGTTGGGGAATTTGGGAAGTCTTCTATGCAGATGAGGTCACATCCTGAGGTCACTCAGGATGATGTTAAAGCCTAGACTGTGAACCGGGTATCAGACCCCTTAATAAATGAGAGAAAATGACCATGACGAGGTTAATAGGAATGATGAAGCTAGATAGTGATTTGGATGCTATAGCATGAATTTTAGAAGAATAGAAGTCTTACATAAGGGTAGAATAAAATGAGTATCTACTGTATATCAGACTGTGTTAGGTAGGAATGAGAAAGGCAAACCTATGTCTCAATTCATATCTGTTTCTGTTATATAATTATAGGGGCAGGCACATATTTCCACCTTAATAAGATAGGTACTATAATATGAATAATGTATGATAAGTAAATGAGAAAAAAAGTACTAGACATATCAGTCTTGTTGGTTTTTACCCCTGAACTTTGTTTTAGACACTCAAATTGTAGAACTTGCTATTGGTGGATTGACATTTCTATTACCAGCTTTGTCTTTGGTTTCAGCTTTCAGCAAATGATACAATCAACATATCATGGAAATGCAATTTTTTTCACCAATCTAGACTCTACTAGTTGAAAACATGAGACTATTCAGTTATCACACTGAAATTTAGTTTCATGCTAAGTTAATAAAACTGTCTCAGCATAAGTTTATAAGGTTGGGATTTTAAAGTATAATCTAATATATGAAAATTTAAACTTTCAGAACACATAATCTAGTTGTGCTATCCAGGAGAACTTTCTTCATTGATAGAAATGTTCTATATTGCATTGTCCAGACTGGTAGCCAGTAGCCAAATTAGCTATGAAGCACTTGAAAATGGTTGGTGTTGGGGGACTTCAGTGGATCAGTCAGATAAGTGTCTGACTCTTGATCTCACCTCAGGTCTCAATCTCAGGGTCAAAAATTCAGACCCCTCTTTGGGATCCATGCAAAGTGTGGAGCTACTTAATTTTAAAAAAGAAAGAAAGAAAGAAAAAAATGTGGCTAGTGTAAATGAAAAGTCAAACTTTTAAGTTTAATTAATTTAAATTTTATAGCAACATGTTGCTCATGATAGCCGTGTTAGATAGCATTGAGCTGCATAGTCTAGTTCTTCAGTAGAAAAATAATTGTTATAAAGAAGACTGTAAATATTATATCTAAACTTCTCAAAACAAATCAATCTTAGATCATTTTGGAAACAAATGTAGAATATTTCCATTTTTGGTAATGATAGAGTAAATTATTCTGACAGAACTCTTTTTAAAAATTATTGAATAAGCATGTTCTAAAACATCACTTTAAAATCCGCAAATAACTGACAAGATAGTGAGGGAAATTCCTGAAGGCTAAATTCTTTGAGAAAGGGGACTTCAAAAATGGTAGTGGAGCATCAGAGCACCTAAAGTACCTTTGTCCTGACAATATTCTGCGGAAAAGACAAGATAAACCACTATTGTGTCTCTTTCCTCTCTATAAGGAAAGCGCTTACCAAAGCTCCTCTCTTGTTTGCTTGGCAGACTTCATTCGTATTTTATTGGCCTGGAGACCACATACCTATTTTAAACCAGTCATGGGCAAAAAGAATGGGATTACCATAATTGGTTTAGACTAATCCAAGTTTGCCCCTAAAATGAGGTTAAGGTCACCTTTCCTGAAACGTAGATTCCTGGGCATAAAGCAGAATTCTGTTAGCAATAAAGTAGAGAGTGACAGATCCTGGGTACACCATACGTGTCTGCTCAGAGCTTTTTTACTTCCCACCTTTACTAGTAGAAGTAGCAGCAACAGAAGTAGTAGTGGTAGTAATACATTTACTGAGCTTTCAGTAGGTACCAGATCCATTGATTTAACTATATTTTCTTCCCATTCTGAGAGTTCTTCTTCTCCTGGGCAGTGAGTTGGCTTGCTGAGATATTGTAAATTTTTATTCTTTCAACAAAAATCCAGAAAAAAACATGCTAATTTAAAGTTTTGGTATAATTTGTTCTATTACAACTTTGCCTCGGCAACACAAATTAGCTTGTAAGTGACTGAGTCATTTTGTGCCATATTATTTGCCACTAAGTGATACAGCGATTAAAGTCAAACTATATCGATATAGCTGAATGGTAGAGGAAAATTGTAGTGTATGTGATGACCCTTCATCCCACATTCTCCTTTTTGCTAGTGTGGCCTCATGCTTTGTCATAGAGTCCTTATCATGTGTTTCTGCCTGTTCTTTGTACATTGGCCTCTGGTCTCTGTAACTCAGCATCCTCAACCCTTGCTTATTAACTTATTTCACTTTTTGTGGGGGGAGGAGATAAAGTCCTATGTTTACTCCAGTATTCCCTTGTTAGGAATTTGCCATGTATTTTTTAAAATGT